CCCGCGCACAAGCAGCAGCAGCAGTCCATGAAGGCCTGGCCCAGGGGTCTGCATAGGCACAGGAGCAGGACGGGCGTCACCGAGCACTTGAAGAACAGGAAGAACTGGTTGATGAGGTTGAGCAGGTCCAGGGTCTGCTTGGACATGTCAGGGGACATGTAGGCCACCACGATGTTGCAGACATTCTCGGGGGTGGTGCAGAGCCCGTAGATGACGGTCAGCCCGATGATGGTGCAGTTCAAGTGACTCTCGCACTGGCTGTGCTTGGTCCCTCGGCACTCGCTCTTCTTCTCGGTGCCGCGGATCCTGCGGGTCACCAGCTGGCAGCTCACGGTGAAGAGGATGGGCAAGCAGAAGTAGCAACCAAAGTACCACCACATCCGAGCGTTCTGGTAGGTGAGCACCAGCGAGTAGACAGACTCGGGCAGGTTGGACGAGGGCTTCATGGTGCAGTACTCTGTCACCACGCCAGACACGGGTGACGTGTCCTGTGTCAGCTGCCAGAGCAAGATCTCTGGCACCGACAGCGTCATTGAGCCCACCCAGATGACAGCCAGCTTGGCGATGATGGACTGGCACTGCTCGATGGGCCGGGCGCTGGCCTGGGGGCTGGTGGCCGCGTGGAACCTGTCGATGCCCAGGGCGCAGAGGCTGAAGGTGGTGACTCCCAGCGACGATACCTGGTGTGGGGGGAGGGAGAACAAGTGGGCCTTGCAGCAGGGATGTCATGGAAGCCTTGGCTTTACCGGGCTGGTGGCAAACCCCTGGCTATCCGAGACCACAGCCCAAGACCCCTTCTCCAAGACTGTGAAGAGGTCACAGCCTGTAGCTGCATCCCAGGTTTGGAGCCATTTCTCTGTGACTCCTGAAAGGGCAGTGGATGGGAACATCACTTGACCCATTTGTCCCCTCCCAGCTCCCTTTTCTGCAGAAGGCTGAAGTTTTGCTGGATGTCTGTCTGTCCATCCAGCCTAGGTGGGAACAGCAGGATTGTCCTGCAGCCCTACCTCTATTCTGGATGGCTCTTGGAGAGGGAAAGCAGGGGCCATCACCCCCACCTGCACCTTCCCAGGGTCCCCAAGGTCCCCGCAGCTGCCCTGGGCTGGCATGTCCCTGCCCTGCTCTGCAGAGCTGCCTGGACAGGCCAGAGGAGTTGAAGGCACCATTTGTCACAAATCAGCTTGGGGCAATTTCCGCTGCATTGAGAATGGCAGGAAAAACATCCTGTTTGCCAAAGGGAAGAGGCCAAAGGAGGCAGAGGAATCGGGGTGGCTCTGGGAGGGCTGGCAAGGCACCGAGGGTCACAATCAGCATTCACTGTCCCAGCCCCAGAGCCAAGTCCCACAGCCCTTGGCTGGGACCACGGCACAGTCACATGCTGGTGCCCCCCAGCCCCGCGGCCGTTCCTGGCCTCACGAAGCCTTCAGATGTCACCTGGTGCTCAAGGACCTTCCCAGCACTCAGGAAACTTCCCAGGGCCCTGCGTGATGCCTGGGTAGCAGCCTGGAACAGTCTGGCACTGCCCCCCAGCTCCCCCTCCACCCCCGCCGCAGCCTTTTCCAGAGGTCCTGGATTGTGCCCTCAGCCGCTCATGCAAGCACCCAGCATCACCGTGCATCAGGGCACCAGCCCAGCACCACCACCCTGCACCCGGCCCCACCACCCAACAACGCTGCTCATGCCCCAGCTCCTCTGCCCAGTGCCCAGAGCCACCCTGAGCATCCAGCACCCTTGCCATGCCCCACAACCACCACCCAGTGCACTTGCCCACCTCCCTGGCTGTCACCTGCAGCCCCCTGGGCCCGCTGTGCTGCTGCCTCTCCTCTCCTCTCCTCCTCTGCGCTCCCACAGGCTCTTCTCTGTTTCCTGGTCCCCTTGGTCCTGGCATGTAACTCAGACGTGGCAGAGCATCTTTCCCCAGTGCCCTGGCAGGGTTGCAGCTGGTGCCACTGGTCACCCCAGCCACGTCCCTGCACACTGCCTGTCACCAGGAGCCCATGGAACCAACTCTGTACCAAAAACCTGGCTGTGTGCCCCCCGCGGAGCATTTGAGTGGCTACAAAGCGGAGGACAGACTTGCTCCTTACAGAGTTCACCCAGCAGCCTGAAACACTTTCACAGTCCCACAGAGAAAGGCTCGACAGTGCCTGATTCCCCTCTCGGGGTTGATGCTTTGCTGGGGATTTAACTCTGGCCTGGCCATGCCCTCCCACCCCAGAGTCCCTGGTGCTGGGTCCCCCAGGCGACAGGGAAGTCCTGAAGCCCCCTTCTGCCCTTGCTTTGGGGCCCAGAGGCAGGAGGGCAGGGCAGGATTAGCAGCTGGGGTGGCAGAGTGGGAGCAGCCTCCTGGGTGGACCATGCCCAGACCATGCCCATCCCTCAGCAGCCCCAAATTCCTTCCTGCCTCCTGCAGGGACCGAGCGGTCCCAGGGCACCCCGGTGCTGCTGGATTGCTGTACCTGGAGGTGTCCCCTCCAGGGATCTCCCACAGGGAACCTGTGGGCAACTCAGAGGGAGGCCATGGCAGATCCTTCTCAGGAAAGAGTTTGAGCTGGAGATATGACCTTTCCTTCCCATCCTTACCAAGTGCTGAGCCTGCCTGCCTGCCTGGGCAAACATGGGTTCACATTCCTGCCCCTCTCCAAGTCCTCCTGCCACCTGGTTGCAACAGCAGAGGCCTGAGGTGGAGAACAGGGATGGGGCAAACCCTTCGTTTGGCGAGAGTCTGGGGTGGGAGAGCTCTAGAAATGAGCATCATAGAATCATAGAACGGCCGAGGTTGGAAGGGGCCTTAGAGATGGTCTAATCCAACCCCCTGCCATGGGCAGGGATGCCTCTCAATGAGACTAAGATCAACAAGCAGGGGAGAGAACATGGGGAGGCAGAAGCCACACATCTCCTCCAGCAAACCCCCTGGGGTGCAAAGGCACCGATGCTGGGTTGCTGGCTGTCACGATGCCAGCAGGACACAGAGCAGCAGGACGGAGCGGGATCACTGGTGGCCATGGTGGCCTCGGACCTGCTTGCCTCACTGCACAGCCCTGGCAGAGGGGGCTGTGCCAGCCCAGCCCACTTCTATTCCCCCCCCAGCCCATGGGGGAATCACCCCAACCTGCGGCTGCTGCCAGGTGAAGCAGGGGAGGATAATCCCAGGTCCTGCACCCGGGAGCCCTGCGGGTCCCACTCTCCTGCAGAAGCTGGACCAGGGAGGGGGATGCTGGGGAAGTGACGGGACACGTCAGTGTCTCGGGACTATTCCTCTGCCTGTAATGACTGAGCTCTCTGCAGCCACAGTCTTTCCCTGTCTAAGTGCCAAGGCCTGCTCTCTGTCCCCTCCAGCTGTTGTTTCCCTGAGCAGGCTTGAGTCCTGGTGATGGGCACAGACAGGTCTGGTGATGACAGAAGGCCAGGTCCCAGCTCAGCATGGTGGCAGCCCTGGGAGGGCAGAGGTGGCCTGGGCATGGGTGCCAAGAGGTTCCCCCACACAACCCACTCAGGTTCAGGGAGAGCAAGGGCAGCAGCCCCCAGGCCTCCCAGCACAAGCCACGACCTCAGCTTCCAGCTGTGTTGTGCTGGGGACACTGACCACGGGAGCAGGCGCTCGCTGGGACAGGCAGGTTTGGAGCCCCAGTTGGCCTGCCCAAGCATGAGAGGGTCTCCAGGGACCTGACACTGCCTCTGATCTCTTCCAGCCTTGGGTTTGCACCCTTCTCAGGTACCTCACACTTTGGAGCCCCAGAGAAGAGCTCAGGCAGGCTGGGTCTGTCTGTGGTACGTGGGTGCAGAGGCGAACATCCCTCCAGAATGGGAGATGCCCACAGCAAGTGTTTATTTTCAGTGTAAGAGCAGAGCCATGCAAAATCATGCTGTCTGAGGCATTTTTGTTCATCCTGCCTTCCCCTGTCACCACGGTCCCTGCCACCCTCTTGGCTGGGTGCCCAGCTCACCCCAAATGTGGCCAACCCGTCATGTGTGAGGCTTGAGGACAAGTGAAGATCTCAGGTTCCCAAACCTAACTCCCGGGCTCTCCCACCCCAGTGCTGCTCAGCGCTGCCCCTCCTGCAGCCCCCTGCCTCTCCCGCAGCCCCCCCATGGCCAGGCTGAGCCCACTGGCGGTTGCCAGGCTGGGACAGTGACAAACAGACAGAGGGACCCCATGGACAGAAGTCCCCATGCTGGCTGGACAAAGGAGGGTTTCAGGCTCTTCCCAGCCCTGGCAGTGTTGGTGCTGGCTGCAGAGCCCAAGGAATGGCGTGGGGCAGAGGTAAAGGGAAGGTCAGCACTGGGACCGTCTCTTGGCTCCTTGCTGTGCCCACAACAGGGGTCTCTGGTGCCCACAGACCCCGTGCCAGGCCATGACGGTGTGGACTGCTCCCAGAGCAAGAGCGTGGAGAGCAGTCAAGTCCTTGAGCCCTCCAGGGCCCCGTGCAGCCCCTTACCTCCATGAAGGGCACAATGCGACAGGACACGTCCCCCAGCAGCCTCTTCTTGGTGATCTCGTTGAAGATGACGACAGGCAGGCAGAAGAAGAGGATGAGGAAGTCCCAGAAAGCCAGGCTGGCCAGGATGGAGTTCCAAGCGCTCTTCATGTAGTAGTTGTGCCACACGATGCACATCACGGAGAGGTTTCCGATGATGCCCACCGCGAAGACGATGAGGGACAGGAACATCACGGCGTAAGCGCTGTAGGAGTTCTCCGTCACCGGGTACAAGGGGTTCTGGATTTGCAGCCGCTTGTCAGACATGGTGGTGAGGTTGGCTCGG